TTGCAAAAACACATTATATGCATGTTAATTAAAATTGTTAAAATCTAATTGTTTCAATCCAAAGTCTATGGAACATGTAAGGCAATCATTAWTGAGTATAATAGATCCAGTTCAAACATTAAAATATCACTAAAACTTACTTCCTTTGCAGTGTCTGAAGATTTGCTGCTGTATCTGAAGTCTTTACACTTTTTGTAACCTTGTGGATCTGGCTTGACCTTGCGGACTTTCACAATTGCATCTCTTCGTTCGTCTGGGGTTAAGCTAGCGAAGGAGGGGGGGCAGTGTTTCTGGAATTTTTGCTTGACTTGCCACTTTTCCGATAAACCAAACCAACAAAGTTCCTCCTCTTGGTCACCATTTCTTTCTTTGCTTTCTAGTTCATCCCACTTCGTTATAAGAGTGGTCGATGTTTCTTCAAATTCATCACTAGATGAGCTCCATACCAGCCCATTCCATCCGAACAGGTCTGCACATACGGTGTTGGTGAGTGCTTGTGAGATTCCGATAACCTTCAGCTTCTGCTGGACGTTTTTTTTGGACGTTTTTTTTGCAGTGAATATAGCAAAGCAGATGGCTTGCATTTGSGAACCCAGCTGTCATGGCATTGGTTAAGGCATCTTCACTATCACTGCCATAGACACTCAGGTATTTTGATAAACCTGGCATTTCTCTGATCAGGCGATGGATGAATGACAAATATGTTGACTGATCTTTTGCCATGCAGATCATCATAGGCCCTAGGAAGACTGGAGAGTGAGAGCTCCCTTTAAGGTAGTGAAAATGGAACACGACCATGTCATTTTTCTAGCACATTTGGGTTGTTTGTAAGAAAAAAAGGTTTCTCTATTAACATTCTTTCAGAGAATTATTCGAAGAAATACTCTAAAAAGTGCTCTAAACATCGTAACCAGGGTAGCCATTTTGAAAAACCATACTTGAAATCGGAGCCATATTTCAGTCAGAAATGATATCGCATTACTATACGCAAGCGCAGTAAGGCCGAAATCTGGCCTTCTTGCGTTGGTAACACGAGAATTCTTTACGTGTAAGTTTTCTTCGTCATGGAGGTAATCGCTAAAGAAGCAGCTTTGGAGGCTTTTAAAGCCGAATTCACGCGCAATGGGTAAGTGTTTTGTAAGTCTTTTCATTGATTTCATTTGCAAGATCTGAATATCTAACTTTTCTTTAGTTACAACGTTCCACAAGGATTAATAGACATTCTTGAAGGGTTTAGTTTGAAACCCACTGAATCTCCTGAACAGGGTAGAGCCCGAATCTACCGTCGTCTTTGGGGTATTTTATGGGTAAGTCATTGCATCGAAGCGGCATCAAAGTTGACTTTATACACAGCGGGATTGTTCTCGTTTATAACGACGCGTTACAAATGTTTCAATCTTGGCAAATTCTTGAAGTGTGTTTGCTTATTTCTTTGTGATTGTAATCTACGTTCCCTTCATGCATTGATAGCCTTAGCCTGTGCTAAATATTAAATTATCAGTGGAACTGGTGAAAAATATTTATGAAGCCGGAATCGCGAGCAGGACATCAACATTGATTGCGATAACAAACACCGAGATCAAAATATCTATGAAACAGGGAAATAAACATAGAACTAAACACGGATTTTACAGTACTATATTTCGTAGAGACTTGCGAAAGCTGAGTCACGAAATCTAGTGTAATTGAAAAAAAAGAAAGATAATTTTGTATTAGCGCGCAAACTTGTATTTTACACTGGCGCGCTCTGGCTACTGAGCGCGTGTGCTCATGCTTCTAGGCGCGTACAGTAGGAAATAACAAGAAATAGAAATCCAAATAGAAAGCTAGTGTTTATCAATGATGTTACATACTTTTTGTGTTGCTGGATTCCGTACGAGCTCGTATATTTTTCTTGTTAAATTTTTTCAGTTTGGCAGTGGTCAAAAACTTGGAGCTTCGGGGAAGTCCAAATCCGTCACGTATGTCTATCCCTCAACGCTGAAAAGGGTGATTAGAGCCATCGTAGCTGGGGACTTTAACGACAGACCTGATCCCCAAAATGAAAAGGTATTGTCAAAATAAAATAAAACAACTAATAATCACAAGCATCTTGTAGTACGATGAATTGGTTTATTGAAACTATTTGGGAGAAAAGAATGAATAATAAAATAGACATAAGATAAAATAAAAATAATAATTTCCATTTTAGGTGTATAAAGTGAACATTGGAGATCTGGCATCAGCCAAGTGGCCCGTCTCAAAGAAACCCAGAAAATAAGATGCATACTCCAATCAGAAAATAGAGTCAATTTCGTATGAGTGGGAAACGGACGGTACTGTACTGTGACCGTAATCGTACTGTAACCAAATTCTAGTGCCCCATTGGTTCACCAAAATTGTGCAGGCCAGGTGCGGTAACTGTGCGGTAACCGTGCGGTAACGGTGTCCCACTCATACGAAATCCGCTCTATTCTAATTCAGTGATAACAGAGTAAATTACATTTTTTTGTTGTTGTTGTTGTTGTTGTTTTTTTTTTTTTGTGGTCAAGTATGTTTTTATTGTTGCAATTCTCTGTGTCCCTTTTTCTCTGTTTTCTTTTCAATAATTTAGACCACAAGGATTTTTAGACTTGCCATATAGATTCATAATAATAAGTCTTGTATAATGCTACTCATTCAAAGTATTTTAGATGCTGAGTTAGAACTGTTTACAAGTGATTATCAATGCATCCACTCACAGATTGTTATGGATTATATTCTACTGCTTGTATTTTTACCTTATACTAGATAAAATTTCAAATATATGATATCAAGCTATCATTATTCAAAATAAATATGGTCAGATCAGGCCAGGTCATGTTTTTTTACAATGGTAATGTCTACTTCCTATACAAAAATGTTTACAGTATTTCAAGAACAATCCTTTGTAAACTAGGATATTTGTACAAAGAACAGATATATATGTTATATAATGGTTTATTCACAGGACAGTGCAATGTACAATTACAGTACTGTAAACCCTCAATCACAAGCAATTGATGTTTGATCTAAATATAACTTCAATAAAATATCTACTGTCATTATAAGCATACAATCTTGGTATATTTGCGAGCTTGATAAAAGTTTACAAAACCAAACAAATATTATGTATTTCTGTTTCAGCAGTGCACGAGCATACATTGAAACTAAAAGTAATGATCATTTTGAATAAATGGCTTCAAGAAGCCCTATTACTAACATGAAACAACTGTGAAGCCTTTCTGTGCTTTTCTGAGTGAATTTGGTATACTGAGTAATTTGTTAGACAAATGTAAACAAAAATAAAACTTAGCAAAGCAATATTCCATACCAATAAGTAAACTATTTTTTTTGTTGGTTTTTCTTGTTGAGTGTGCAAGACCTGTGAGATGTTCGCTGGTGCTTTGTACTTCCACACTTGCACTTGCCACTGACACTTACTCTAGCACCTTAAGGAGCTGTAACCTTTTTCCTCTGGCGTTGCTTTTGCCTAGTTTTCCCATCCAGTCGCCTTTGTACCTCCTCACGAACTTCTCCTTCATCCAGGTCGTTGTCTTCTGGCTCTCCATATGTGTGAAGAATTTTCTGACGTCGCATGAATTTTTTCCTAAAATAATTTATAAAATAATAAATGTTACAATATAATACAGGTTTGTAATGTCTTTTTTTTTTTAATTATTAGCATTTTAGCATTTTTTAGCATATTCCTACAACAACATTCAGCTTTCTTGTGAGTCTACCCCTGCTATTGTTCTACTATACTTTGATGCATGCTGTCAAATAGGCACATTAGTATAATCTTTAAAAAAGAACTAAAAAATTGTCAACAGTTTATACTGGGCTAACCTTTGTTCACTTTCTTGAAGACGTCTTTGCTTCTGTTTTGCCCTTGCAGACTTTGCTTCTGTTGTCTTTTTCTTTTGGAGCGCCTTCATCCTCCTGTTGTTTTCAGCCATCCAGATTTCTTCAATGCCATCAGGAATTGGCAGCCGCATTGAATCAAACAGCTCTCTCATCCAGTGGTAATTACTCCCAGCATCCTTGTACATGAAAGTCATGTTGCTTTGACACAAGCCAACATTCGTTATACATTCATAGTGAA